GAGGCAGTATCACTATGGAAGTAGATTGCCCCATCTTCCTTCTCTTCCTTCTGAGGAGTGGCTGGTGGGTTTGAACCGCCAGCCTTATGGTTAGCAGTCAAGTGCCTTGGCCACTATTCTACCAGACCTCCTAGACAACGATCTTAGCAATTCTATAAACTAGGTGCTATCTCCATTTAAATAGGGAAAACTAAGGTTGGGAGAGGTTAAATCACCTGTCCAAATTGGACACAGAGTAGGTGATGAAATCAGAGCTCCATTTCAGTAGCATCCACCTCTAAAGTGTCCTAGAGTGAAAACACACACTCTGCAAAAGTAAAATGAAGACATTTATTGAAAATCCAGACACAGTCTGGACTGGGAAAACATCCAGATTCAGAGTGGAGATGGCCATTCCACCTGGCAATATAGAAGCAAGCATTCTCATAAGTTGAAGCAGGACCTGAAACTACGAAATCATGATTGGCTGAAAGACGGTCAGGGCAGTTGAAACAGCATATCTGCAAGCAGGGACTTAGCAGGGATGTTATTGTTGTTGTTATGTGCCATCGAGTCGGACCCGACTCATAGTGACCCCTCCCTGGGTTGCCGAGGCAGTATCACTATGGAAGTAGATTGCCTCATCTTCTTTCCGAGGAGTGGCTGGTGCATTTGAACCACCGGCCTTCTGGTTAGCAGTCAAGTGTCTTAGCCACTATGCTACCAGATATGTGGGATTACATGATTGGTTAAGGGCACACAATTACTCTTCAGTTAATTATGTGCTCTTCAGTTAGTTACAGGATGGTCAGAGGACAACAGCAGGACAGATTTTTTTGGAACCTCTTGTTAAAATTGTTTTCTCAATCATTTTATTCCTGGGGGGGTCTGTTTATTTATTTATTTATTATAATACTGGGCCTCAAGACCCTTTGGGCATAAGCTATTGCATCCTGCATTTGTTTGACCACAGAGAAAATATTGCCTTTAGATTATACAGTTAAGTCAGCACAAAGGTTGGAGAAGCTGCTGTTAGGCAGCTTTAAAATTCAGCATGGATTCTAGACTCATGTCAGGACTTTAAGATGGAGTTAAGGCTGTGCTTTCAGACTGTGTATTTATACACATCAAGTGCCTCAGATTTTAGATTTTCACACAAAAGCCATGCTCTGCTCTCTCACTCCCTCTTAAAGTATTAGCTAAGTGTTACCATAACCAAACCAAACTCACTGCCTTCAAGTCGGATCTGACTCATAGTGAGTGTTACCATAACCTCCCAAATAATGCCAGTTAACCCAGATATAACACAAATGCCTGCCTTCTGCTGGTCCTGGGGCTGGCTTACTGTGGCCTGCCTCCACACACACAAAATGGATGTTAGAAGAGACTCTGAAGTTTGCCCTTAAACAGAGAGTAGCTAAAGCAAATGGAAGAATCGACAGGATAAAAGAGCTGAACAGAAGATTTCAAAGAGAAGCTCGAGAAGACAAAGTCAATTATTATAATGGAATGTGCAAAGACCTGGAGTTAGGAAACCAAAAGGGAAGAACAAGCTTGGCATTTCTCAAGCTGAAAGAACTGAGGAAAAAATTTAAGTCTTGAATTGCAATATTGAAAGATCCCATGGGCAATATGTTGAATGATGCAGAAAACATCAAAAGAAGATGGAAGGCATACACAGAGTCACTATACCAAAAAGAATTGGTTGGTGTTCATCCATTTCAGGAGATGGCATATGATCAAGAACCAATGATACTGGATTTCCGGTAAGGTGGTGGAATAGGCAGACAAGCTACACAGAACCTCTTTAACAAAGAAAAGAGAAACCAATTGACAGAGGTATAGAAGATAATCCTGCAGCCCTGAGCTTTGAAAGGAAGTGTTCAGAAGTGGATTAGGCATCAACTAGTGGAAAAACCTGAATGAAAACAAGGAGGACAGAGATGGTCAGAGCTGCAGATTGTCAGCTACTCTGATGAGACCAACAGCCTGAATATTTCCAAGTGGTGTTGAGACCTGAGAATTGACCTAAAGATCAGCCCTGGTCACCAAGGGCTGCAGGTACAACTGCTCTAGTGGACTATGACTAGGAAGGGAAACAGCAAGGAGGGAGACAACCTGAGCTGTGGACTTTGTGCTGTCTAGAGGGTGCAGCCATTTTGATTGTTTACAAGTGGTGGCCATTTTGGATATTTAAAGTGCCCAAGGATACAGCCATCTTGAATGTTTACAAGTGGTGGCCATATTGGATTTTAAAGTGACAGCATTCTCATTCAGATTCCAGAGACTTAAGAATAGGTTCCATTTGCCAAGGATGGCAGGGACACATGGGAGGATGACAACAGGAAAGGAGACAGGTGTTGAGTGTATAAGTGCTGCCAACTAGCGAATAGAGGAGCACAGTACCCTGTTTTTGTAGATACATAACATACAAACAAAACAAAGAAAATGAAAATGGTGGGAAAGTCACTCCAACATACAATGTAAACACGAAACCATCACAATATCTAAGAGACAACAGACCATCACAGTCCACACAAAGAAGTAAGATAAAGCAGGAGAAACAAGGGACCAGGATACAGACCCAGGACACATCCCTGAGGAAGAAGCAGCATTGGGAGACAGATCAAGGAAAACACTGACAAAATTGAGGAAAACACAGAGAAAACCCTAGAACAATTTCAAAAAACAATACAAGAACAACATGACAAAATAAATGAAAAATTAGAAATGATACAAAATCTATAAATAGAAATCCAGAAGATTAATACTAAATTTTCAGAAATAAATAACCCATTGAACGGGTAAAGGAGTAGAATTGAATCAATGGAAGACAGAATTAGTGACATTGAAGACAAATACCTCAATACTTCTTTGGAAAGGGATCAATTAGAAGAAAGATCAACACAAAACAAAGAAAGCATAAGGTTCATGTGGGATACCATCAAAAGGAATAACTTATGTGTAATTGGAATGCCAGAACAGGAAGAAAAAAATAAAACCACTGAGAAAATTGTCCAAGATTTGTTGGAAGAGAATGTTCCCGGTATGATGAAAGATGAGAATATATCCATCCAAGAAGTCCAATGAACCCCAAACAAGATAGACCCCAAAAGAAAATCACCAGGATATATCATCATCAAACTCACCAAAACCAAAGACAAAGAAAGAATCCTGCAAGCAGCACAGGAAAAATGAAAAGTTACCTACAAGAGACAACCAATAAGACTAAGCTTGGATTTCTCAGCAGAAACCATGCAGGTGAGAAGACAATGGGATGGTATATGTAAAACCCTGAAAAAGAAAAATTTCCAACCAAGAATTATATATCCATCAAAATTGTCCCTCAAATATGATGGTGAAATTAGGACATTTCCAGATAAGCAGGAATTAAGGGAAATTGCTAAAACCAGACCAGTCTTATAAGAGATGATAAAGAAAGTCCTTGGACACAGAACCAACAACAGCAAACAATGATGATGACAAACTTAGAAACCAACCCAGTTATAGAAGTATCCAAAGTAAATAAGCCTACAAGATTGTAAACAGGAAACCAGAGACATCAGCTGACAAATGAGGGCAACCGCAAACCAAAAAGAGGGAAAAAATTGTGTAGCTACAGAACTTCTAAATGGTAGGGAAGTCAAAATAACTGCAAGATAGAATGGACTGTTCTAAACTTAGGAAGAAATTATAAATCACAGGGTAACCTCAAAGAAAAATGATAAA